GGGTGGAGGAAAAGAGAATTGCAGAGGAATATACTGAACCTGGCAAGTGATTGGCTACTAGAGAGGTAATTCAAAGTTAGCACTAAAGTTTCAAAACTGGAAAGAAGGTATTGCCAGGTAGCAGAATTGTGGGTAGGGATGGTAGGTTTTGACTGATGTTGAGTTTGAGGTGCTAGTGAGACATCTGAGTGATGCCCGGCCCACAGCAGGACTGAATATTAGGAAGTTTCCTTTGTGGATAGGGTGGTCCTCTTCTAGATCCCCATAGAAATTGCAGTTCATTCAGGGTAGGGACCTTGCAGGTTGAGAAGAAATCTGGCAGAATGATGAGAACCTATGACAGTGCACCTCCTGAGCAACAAATGACTATTTCCTTATCCAAATCCTAGACAGATTGGGCAAGATGCTTAGTGGAGTGTGAGATGGTTGTTCTATGTGCCACTCATCACTTTTTAAAAAAATATATTAAAAATTTTTTTGAAGTATAGTTGATTTACAATGTTTCAGGTGTACAGCAAAGTGATTCAGTATATACACCTATATATATATATATATATATTCTTTTTCAGATTCTTTTCCATTATAGGTTATTACAAGATATTGAATATAGTTAGTTCCCTGTGCTATACAGTAGGTCCTAGTTGTTTATTTTATGTAGAGTAGTGTGTATCTGTTAATCCCAAACTCCTAATTTATCCCTCCCTCCCCACCACTCATCACTTTTAACTGTCCATCCTTTAAGTGGCTTCACATCTTTGAGCCAGATGGCTTGTGCTTGACATTGTACCTTGATAGCTTCCAAGTGTGCTAGATGAGTTTTGACTGCAAGACACCCTTGGCCACGCCCTGATTGATTCACAGTGCAAAATGTTGCCTAAGCAATTCCACAGAGACAGAAAGGAGATCAGTGGTTGGCCGGGACTGGAAGAAGGGAAAGTAGGGTGTGACTTCTAAGGGGATATGGAGTTCCTTTTTGGGGTGATGAAAAAGTTCTGGAATTAGATAGTGGCAATAAATGCACAGCTCTGTGAATATACTAAGAACCATTGAATTATATACTTTAAATATTCAGTAGATGAATTGTATGGCATCTTTATTATATCTCAGTAAGAATTTCTATAAGGAAAAAAAATGTTGCCTAAGAAGAAGAAGAAATATATTTTCCTTTTCCTACTTTCTGGACTGGAAACCTTTTGTCATGTGTCTAATTTTCAGTTTAACTACTTTGACAGAGTCCTTTTGCATGGTTTTTCTGCTCATGTTACTTTCCTCTGCTTTTTCTAAAAGAAGATCTCTGGGTAGAGCATTTCTGAAGTTGTACTAGTCAGATGCCCTTCAGGCATGTTTCAGCATCTGAGAGAGCCTTTCAGTCTGCTTAGAGAAAGCAACATATTAATCTCTTTAAGACTTAAAGCATTTGCCAAATTAAACACGCGAATGAAAACATTCTAACCAGATTTGTGTTGACTTCTGTGCTCACAGTGTAAACACACGCACGCGTGCACACACACACACACACACACACACACGCACTCACTCACGCAAAGTATTTCAAAACATCAGAAAGCAATGGCTTTCAAAAGTACTCTCCAGCCAACACCCTCTCTCGTATGCCAGAGCTCAGTCCAGAGCAAGCTTTTTTATAGCTGAGTTATATAAACACTTGAAGCCCAGAGTAATCTCTATAATGGAAATACTGACATCGCTTGACTTGAGCAACACAGATGGCTCTGGCTTTTTTAGCTAGAACATGATGAGTTTTCTAATAGGAAGCCAAGAGGCTCTTTGGGGTAGAACTGTTAAGAAATGTAGAGACTGGGAGGAAAATCTCTCAGTGGATTGCAGTTGTAAGCACTGTGCCCTGGCTGCGTTCTCCTACTACCGCTCTTCCTTCTGTAATCAGGAAAACTGCCCAGATAGATACTGCCTTGTATAAGTATGGAACGTAACGTTGACTTGTGACCTTAATTTTCTGCAGTCCCTTGCTTGCCCTAGGGTTGCTGGAAGCAACAATGGTGATTGTTGTCTCAGATATGAGACTCTGTAAGGATGGACGAGAGACATCTGAATCGTTTAAAACATAAGTCTACCAAAAATTCTCCCCCACTCTGTCAAGATGATGAAATTGATGCACTTTAAAAGTTTTCAAGTGTTTTGGTATATTAGCTCACTTTAGTCTCTCAATCACTCTGATAGAAGAGCTGTGTGTTGTTGTTTCCATCATTATAGTCAAGGAGGTAGCATGAATAACCTGTTAGTGGTCAGGCTAGGATTAGGAAGCGATACAAACTCATTGTTCCTTCCCCAGTACTCGGATGCCCAACACCTGGACTCCCACATACAGACCTGCCCTGCTCCCCAGTGAGCAGACATTGGTGTAGCTAAGTGCATTTGCGATTTCGTTTCTCATGGTTGTTTATTGTCTTGGCAGTTGGCTTTGCCTGGGTACCTTTGCTGAAGGACGGTAGAATCATCACATTTGAGCAGCAGCTGCCAGTTTCCGCTAATCTTCCCCCAGGCTACCTGAACCTGAATGATGCCGAATCAAGAAGGGTAGGAAAATATCTGTATTTGTTGAAGTAATCATGATGAAGTGTTTTTCCCCCTCTTTTTAAAAAACTGTATTGAAGTACAGTTGATTTACAGCATCGTGTTAATTTCTGCTGTCCAGCAAAGTGATTCAGTTATACGTATATGATGAAATGTTTAAAAAGTAGAATACCGTTGGCAGAGTCGATAGTTTGGTCTGGTTGATGGCTACTCAGAGTGTAGTTTGAGGGCCGGTGCTGGTCCACGACGAAGATAAGTATAGAAAATGAGTGTTGAGAAGCTTGTATAATAGGTTGACAAAGTAACCTCATGTCTGTTGATTCTGATAACGATTTTTAAAATGGGACTTCGATTTTGTGCATCATGAAAAGGATTCATTTATTTCGTAATTTTTATTGTCATTTGCAAAAGTATCAGCCTGCAAAGGATTGGAAATTCAAAATGGTTTAGGATACATTTATTCTAAAGGCATGTTATTTTCTCCAATAATTCCCTATGTGCAAAACGAACACATTTGTTTCTGAAAGAAAATGTTGAAATGCATAAAGGCGTTATATGTTGCTCATCTATCCATTGCTATGGTACAGAAACTCATGTGTGTATTTTCTCTTCACAGCAGTCTAATGTGGATATTAAGTGGGTAGATGGTGCAAAGCCTTTGTTGAAGATTAAAAGTCACTTGGAGTCTACCATTTATACTCAAGTAAGTTGCATCACCTGAATTTTGTCAGTTTTAATACTTGACTATATTTCTGGATTAAAATAGACTATATTCGATTCTACAGCCTTAGAGAAGTTGTGGCCTGAAAGACTTTCTCATTAGTAGTAACATCATTCTTAATAATAGCTCAAAGTTAAAAATTCTTCTCAAATTACCAAATCCTTTTACCTATTAATGCCCCTTTTCTGTTTCAGGATTCTATCCAGTATAGCGTGTTACATTTAGTTGTCATATCTCCTTAGGCTCTTCTTGGCGGTGACAAGTTCCGAGACTTTCATTGTTTTTGGTCACCTTGTCAGTTTTCAGGACTACTGGTATTTTGTAGGATGCCCCTCTGTTGGGATTTGTCTGACATTTTTCTCATGGTTAGACTAGAGTTGAACACAGAAATTTGCAGTCAGTGGATCATGGCTGGCTACTACAGTTTGCTCTTAGCCTCGGCATCCATGAAATTAGGATCAAGTATCTGTGAGATGCCTCAAGCACAGTTTGAAAAATCACGGATGGAGAAGATGAAGTCCACGCTCTTTGGTGTAGCCTACAAGGTCCCTCTCAATTCCCCCTGCCCACTTCATCATTTTAGAGGAAAAGAAACCGAGGCTCGCTCGGGTTAGATGATTTACCCGAGGTCACACAGGTAATAATTAGAGGAAGCAGGTCAAAATCCGAATTTCATGATTCTGGTTCCTGATACAGTCCATGCCGTCCACAAATTCAATATCTGTAGATTCCATACAGGACAGCTGGACGCTGACCGGTGCAGGGCCAGGGTACATTGGGCACTGAATGCCTGGGACTTGTTCTGGTGACTCCCTGCTGCTACGTTTTCTTCACCTGTCAATTCAGACCTCTCTTCCTGCTCGTTTCATTAAAATATAGAAGCAGCCCAACTTCAGAGGCTACACGAGCCAAAAAAGAGATTAAACAAATGTGTGACTACTTGGGCATAAATGGTGACCTACCCAGCGTGCTTAGGTACATGCTGAATGTGCCTAGTTTTGCTGCTTTGTGTGATGGTCGAGAGGACTGTGGGACTCATTTAGGAACATGCATGTTGGTAGCTGAGTCTGGCCATTAGAAGACCCAGGGAAACAGGTTTCCAAGATTCCAGGGTGGTGGGGTGTGGTGTGGGGGCGGAGCCTGTGCTTTGCAGGTGGGAGGGAGGGAGACACAAGAGGGAGGAGATATGGGGATGTATGTATACGTACAGCTGATTCACTTTGTTGTACAGCAGAAACTAACACACCATTGTAGAGCAATTATACTCCAATAAAGATGTTAAAAAATAAAAAGAAATGAATCAAATTTCATATGGCTGTGTCCATCTCTTTTTCAGGATCTACATGTGCACAAATTCTTCCATCATTGCCAGCTGATTCAGTCAGGCTCAAAAGAAGTTCCAGGGGAGCTCATTAAATATTTAAAGGTAAATGAACAGTAGCTTTCTGTGAAAGGTTTGTTTTTCATGTCGTTCGGTTGCCACATTTTTTGACGTGGGGGAAAAAAATCAAACGAACCCTTTAAAAATACCTTTGGCCATGTATCCTCAAGAGAACACTTTCTATTATGTGCTTTTCCATCAAGGGGCTGTTTAGAAGCAGACTGCAGAATTGCTACATTAGGAAGAAAATGTTTTAGCCAGAATTCGTTGACATATTTTTGAAAATCTCATGAAAATGTTTATTTCAGTTCCATAAATTGATTTTTCCGGGCCTTTTCTCATCTTGCCGATGGCCAGGTAAAGGTGGAGAAAGCTTGGGGAAAAGGGCCAGGAGAAATGGAGTCACTTTTGCTTGGAATGAAATGTGAAATGATTCCTGTGTTCATAGGTGAAAGATTATCAGAAGGGTCAGCTAAAAAAAGAGAACCTAGTTTCTGCATGTTGCATAGGAGGGAGTCATAAGTAACGCCATATTTTATCAAATGTATTGAGAATCCAAGACTCCATTTATTCCCTAATGCGGTGGGACAGGGCACACGTCATGGAACCCAGCTAACAGTGACTTTTCTTTTCAGTAGATCAGCCATGGCCAGTCTGAGGCATTTTTATTTTAAATGAAGCCTCTACAGGATTTCCCTTTAGGCATATGTTAATAGTGAATGATATTCTCAGGAAATGAAAAGGTTCATTTCTTTCAGAGAGGTACTATGACATGAGGTAATACACGTATGGGTTCTGGAATCACAAACTGAATTTGTGTCCCAGGTCTGTCACTTATTAGCTCTGTGATTGACCTTGACCAACTTACTTAACTTCTCCAAGCCTTTGTTTCTTCTTCTCTCACATAAAGATAAAAACCTACTTGTAGTCATGAGAGAAATGCAAATCAAAACTACAATGAGGTATCACCTCACACCAGTCAGAATGGCCATCATCAAAAACTCTACAAACAATAAATGCTGGAGAGGGTGTGGAGAAAAGGGAACCCTCTTGCACTGTTGGTGGGAATGTGAATTGATACAGCCACTATGGAGAACAGTATGGAGGTTCCTCAAACAACTAAAAATAGAACTACCATACAACCCAGCAGTCCCACTACTGGGCATATGCCCTGAGAAAACCATAATTCAAAAAGAGTCATGGACCACAATGTTCATTGCAGCTCTATTTACAATAGCCAGGACATGGAAGCAACCTAAGTGTCCATCGACAGATGAATGGATAAAGAAGATGTGGCACATATATACAGTGGAATATTACTCAGCCATAAAAGAAACGAAATTGTGTTATTTGTAGTGAGGTGGATGGACCTAGAGACTGTCATACAGAGTGAAGTAAGTCAGAAAGAGAAAAACAAATACCGTATGCTAAGACATATATATGGAATCTAAAAAAAAAAGAAAGAAAAAATGGTCATGAAGAACCTAGGGGCAAGACGGGAATAAAGATGCAGACCTACTAGAGAATGGACTTGAGGACACGGGGAGGGGGAAGGGTAAGCTGGGACGAAGTGAGAGAGTGGCATGGACATATATACACTACCAAATATAAAATAGCTAGCTAGTGGGAAGCAACCGCATAGCAAAGGTAGATCAGCTCGGTGCTTTGTGACCACCTAGAGGGGTGGGATAGGGAGGGTGGGAGGGAGACGCAAGAGGGAGGAGATATGGGGATAGATGTATATGTATAGCTGATTCCCTTTGTTATACAGCAGAAACTTAACACACCATTGTAAAGCAATTATGCTCCAATAAAGATGTTAAAAAACAAAACAGAACTACCCACTTGTAGGGTGGTTACAGGCCGCAGTGAGATAAGGCATCTGCTCTATAGTATTCATTCATTCCACACTTTTTTCTTGAGTGCATCCTACGGGCCAGGCTTCATTCTAAACATTGGGAGGATAAATGAAAAAAACAAACAATATCCCTGTTTTCAAGGAGCTTACTTTGTTGTGGAGACAGATGGACAATAAACACGTAAACAAATGCATACGCGCGCGCGCGCGCACACAACACACACACACACCCACACCCACACCCACACACGGTGGTCCCTCTGTATCCTCGGGGGATTGGTTCCAGGACCCTCCATAGATACCAAAGTCCAAAGATGCTCAAGTCCCTTGCAGCCAGCTTTCCGTATCCACAGATGCGGAACGTGTATGTCATGTCAGGTGGTGATAAGTGCTATAAAGAAAACCAAAACATAGTGCAGGAGAGTAGGAGTGATAAGGAGTCCCTCTTTTAGATAAAGTGTCAGAGAAGAGCTCTCCAGTAAAGTGATGTTTGACAGAGACCTAAAGGAAAGGAGGGTGCCAGCTATGTGGAATTCTGGGGCAGAGCTGGGAATAGCAAGGGCAGAGGCCCTGAGGAGCTTGCTTGGTGTGCTCAAGGAACAGCCAGAGTTCCAGTGTATCTGGCACACAGAATGATAGGCCCTCACATTGGAAAGGTGGCTGGGTTGCTGGTCAGGTCAGGCCTCCTAATATGATGTGACTTTGGTTTTAAAGTATCATTCTGCCTACCATACCGAAAATATATTGTTGGAAGGGTAGAGTCAGGGAGGTAGCCGATAAATGGTGGCTACGATTCTTAATTATCATTAAGAAGTATAGTAGTCGTCTAACTTCAAATCCTTTTCTTGGGTAATGTCTAGAACTCCCGCGCTACGTATGAGTGCATTGTCTGTTGAGATCATTGGCTTTTTCTTCCAGTGGGGAAGCTTTGTAAAAGTTTTAACAGAATTGAACAGAACACTGTTTTCCTATACTGGTATTCTTAGAATGGAGGAAAAAGAAAGTACTCATATTTGCGTTTTTAAGGGTGTGGAATTTCTGATATTTATGTGACCTATGCTTGCCCTCTAGTGGCAGTGAATGAAATGCCATGTGATTATAGAAAGAGCTCCTGTATGGAGTGTTAGCGCTGAAAGGGATCTTTAGCGATTTTGTTTTACAGATGAGAAAACTGAGGCCCGAGGAGAGTGATTTGCCTGTGGTCATTCTGATTACTAGCAGAGCTGAGCCAAGCCTGTCTCTTGATGTGTCTCTTGACTCCCAGTCCTGTTTTCTTTCTATCAGACCTTGCTACCTGTTGTCCTTGTAAATGACAGTGTTTCATCACTTCATTTAACCATCTACATGTTGAGCCCTTATTATGTGTTCAGTATTTTCCTAGATGCTGTGGTGCTTGCAGAGAAGAATAACTTAGGCTCATTGTCTATAGGGATCTTACAACCAGTCAGAGAGACAGGATCCACTTAAGTCAAATGACAATATAAGTCAGTAGTACAAGTGATAGTCCAAAGCAATATGTAGTTAAATGTCAAATGCGTGATACAGGGTATAAATGCTAAGAGTTCACAAAACCGAGGAACCACTGAGACTAGAGGGTTCCCATCTTTATCCCTTTGGTTCCTTATTTTATTCATTTATTCAGTCATCCCTCAAATATTTATTGAGAACCTACTATGGGTCACATATTGTACTGGATGCTGGGACTATAATGGGAACGAGTTAGACAACATACCTACTCTAGTTGGGGTAGAGAGATTATACATAAGCAAGTCACATTACGTAGGGATGAGTGCTGTGAAGAAATTAGAACAGGTTAATGGGCTCTAGCATGACCAGGAGTGCAGTCAAGATGGACTTGTCAGGGAAGGCCTGTCTAGGAGATGACACCATTTCAAGCTGAAAAGAAGCTGATGGGAGGAAGACAGCCATAGGTGATAAAGCTGTGTAAAAGGATGACAGAATATTGCAGCAGGTGTAAACACTTTGCAGTGGGATGTGTGGAAAGAAGAAAAACAAAGACAACGTAGCTAGGGCACATTGAGCAGCAAAGCAGGAGGATGGCCTCAGATGAGTGGGGAGTGATAGGCAGGGTACATGTAGGACGGGGAGCCCTTCACAACTTTTTGTTCATGGTGGTTGATTTTGTTTGTAACAGAGGGAAATGACATTGTGGAATTTGCCTTTCCAAAAGAACCCTCTGGCTGCTGTGTGGAGAATAAATTCCAGAGGAACAGTACTGGTGCAGGGAGATCACTTCTGCATGGAAGGTCCGTCTCTCTTTTCTACTTGATGTGATCCTACTTACGATCCTTGAACCTTCCTCCTTTCTGAAGCCTCATATGACATTCCCTCCTCACTGGCAGACTCGGCTCCTTCTTCCTCTGTACGCCTTGTATATACCGCTGTTGTACTGTTTAGTGTTTGTATCGCAGTGATTTAGTTCCATGTGTTTTCCCCACACAGTCTGTGAACTTCTTGATGGTAGGAACCATGTTTTTTTGATGTGCTTGGCAATTGAAAGTTCATTCAGTATGCCTTTGTTGAATGAGTGAATGAATGGCTTCACTGAACTGGGGGTTTGAACTTGACTGGGAAGGGTGGCGAGGATTTGGCTACAAAGTGTGAACAAAGGTAGCAGTGCATTGATATATTCAAGGAGCAGTCAAGACACCAGTGTGGCCTCGTGAAGAATGATGAGTGTTAAGGTTAAGAGTGTAAGCTGGGTCTTAAGTAACTTAGACTTAATACCTGGGTCAGAGTTTCTCAAACTTGGCACTATTGACATTTGGGGCAGGATAAGTCTTTGTTGTAAAGGGCTGTCCTGTTCACTGGAGGGTGTTTAGAAGCATCTCTGGCCTATCCACTAGATGTCAGTAGCACCCCCACCAATTGTGACAGCTCAAAAACGTCTCCGGACATTGGGGTTGGGTTGTGGCACATGGTCTCTGGTTGAGAACCACTGCCCTATGTCATGGGGAAGCATCAAAAGATTCTTGTTGGTGGCACAAGGTGGCCTGATGTAACCCCTATTTGAGGAAGATTAAGTTTTGGAAATGAGAGACATATTGGGAGTGAGGAGAAAGTGTACATAGACCTACTAGAAAATTATTAGACTATTTTGGTTATAGGTTAGAGTTCTGAAAAAGGGCGATGGCTGTAAGGATAGAAGAGAGGGCAAAAGGAAGGAAAAACCTGAAGGATAGACCATGGGTTCCCTGAGCTCAGTTTCTTGCCTTATGCATCCGATTGAAGAGAGGCTGCCCGGAAATCTCAGAGGTCACTGTTGAGATGATTCAAATATAGATGAGAAAAGCCTGAAAAGGGATGCTGAGAGTAAGGATGGCAACATAGAGCAAGAGTAAGGGAGCCTATGAAAGATAAATGCTGAGTTCCTTAGTACAGAGACTTGTTTTACCCGTGTCTGTATTTCCCAGGGTGCTAAATATTGAATTGGTGTAGAAGGTGCTCAGTGAGGTTTTTTTGGTTGGCCAGTTGACTAAATGAGTGAGTGAATGAATGAGTGAATAAATGAATGCGGAGAGAAGGGAAGTAAGAAGAAAGACATTTTACATATTTAGCTGCTTGTATCATTTCTATATATACACGGACATATTTCTTCTTTTTGATGTCAAGATACTGATCAGTAGAGATGAGTGTTAGCACTTTGAAAAAATGTATTGTGAGATGTTAGTATGCAGAACTGCCTCAGCTTGTGGATGGTGCTAGTGTAAAGCCAATTATATATAGAAACACACTTTATTGAATCCCATGTAGCTTCTCGCCACAAAGTAATGGCCCACTTGCCCCTGTAAAACACACGAACTTGAGGGCTGGTAGGCCCGTCTCCATTACCTCCAAACATGCCTGCTCCTCGCCCCGATTAAGTGTTGGTTTACCAAGAGTCTGTTGTCTTTATTCCAAAACCTGTTGATCCCAGTTATACTTATCTTCAATAGAGCATTTAATATTAAATGAACTAACAGAATCTGAGTGCCAAGATAGAGATGTGGCTAAAGTAACTGACAAAGTCCCCTATCCCCTGAAGCTCATGTTTAAAGTGAGCTTATATTCTAGTGAATGTAGTTTTCATTACTTAATTTTTTGTTGTTTCACCTTTGCAAGTTATATCATATTTTGGTTTATTTTCATAACTAATAATGACTTATTTTAGTGTTTGCATGCCATGGAGATCCAAGTCATGATACAGTTTCTACCTGTAATTCTTATGCAACTCTTCCGAGTCCTCACAAATATGACCCATGAAGATGACGTGCCTATCAACTGCACCATGTGAGTTTCAGTGTCATAATACCAAGAAGCAACTTTTGTTTCCTTTTGCATTTCTTCATTTGAAATATAAATTTATCTTCCAAATGAGAACCCCAAAGTCAGAAATCTAATATCAGTTTTCTCTAGTTTCATACTTCTCATACCAGGGGACTTATATCCCCAGGGACAGGTGATACCAGAAACCATAGGATAAACTTCCTCAACCAGAGGTTCTAAAGCTGCTGCATGTTAGAAACTTTTAAAAATGTCTGTTCCCGGACCATACTTCATACCAATTAAACCAGAATCTCTGAAGGTGGAACTCAGCATCAGTATTTTTTTTTTAAGTTTCCCTGATGATTCCCTAATGCAAGGGAGTTTGAGAACCATTGCCCTTGACCAGTCTTGTCCAATACAACTTTCTCCAGTCGTGGAAATGTTCTATACCTGTGCTTTCCAATATGGTGGCCATTAGCCACATTTAGCTGTTGAGCACTTGAAATGTGGCTAGTGTAACTGAGGAACTGAAGTTTTTGTTTTGTTTTGTTTTGTTTTTCCTTGTGGTACGCGGGCCTCTCACCGCTGTGGCCTCTCCTGTTGCGGAGCACAGGCTCTGGACGCGCAGGCCCAGCAGCCATGGCTCACGGGCCCAGCCGCTCCGCGGCATGTGGGATCCTCCCAGACCGGGGCACGAACCCGTGTCCCCTGCATCGACAGGCGGACTCTCAACCACTGCGCCACCAGGGAAGCCCAGGAACTGAAGTGTTAATCGTAGTTAATTTTAATTCATTTAATCGCCACTTGTGACGAGCGGCTCTCACATTGGACAGAGTTGCCCTAGGCCATCAAATTGTACTCGAAAGAATAATGGAGTGTTCTTTTTATATGAAAACAAACAAGGATATATTGTAGAGTAGGATGCAAAATGCACCTGTATTTTGAAATTAAAACAGGAGTTTTCCAAAAAATTGTGAGCTCAGTGCTGGCTCTTTCTGGCTTTGCTGCTTCTGCTGTTGCGACTTCTGTTGAGCCTCTCTGGAGCCTCAGGGCTGAAGCGCCACACACCTCCATACTGTTTGCTCTTCTCTGCTGCTGGGCATAGTCTGGTTGCAAATTTAAAAAGCATTATTCTAGTCCAGTTGTTCTCAAAATGTGGTTCCCAGACCAGCAGCATCAATATCACCTAGGAGCTTATTAAAAATGCTAATCATTGAACTTCACCCCAGACCTAAAAAATCAGAAACTCTGGGAGAGGGGTGAGCACTTTACCCTCCAGGTGTTTCTGAGGCACGCTAAAGTTGGAGAACCACTGCTGGTCTCATAATTTTAAAACTTTCTATGAATCTTAGGTTTACTTCCAATTTTAGTTCATATCATTATACCTGCTCTGTCTCTCCCTTCCCTTTTCCCCCATCTGTTGTCATGCTTAACATTTTTTTCTATTCTTTTCCTTTTATTCTCACTAGAGGGGATTTCAATATTTACCTTACTGAAGGTTTTTTTTTTTTTTTTTTTTACTATATGGTAGTTATGACCATACTTCAAATGTGGTTTAGAAAGGAGATGAAATATCTGGGTTGCCAAAATAAAATATCCGTCTTTTGAACCAGGAAACATATTTTACAAGACCCTGAGCATGTTAGATGCTGAAATCTCTGTTAGACCCAAACTAAGATGACATTTAATGCAGTCATCTCACCTTTAATTATTTAGGCAGTATTAGGTATTTTTAGGGTTAAGTATGATGGTTTTATCGAACAATCAAATTATAGTGGTTAATTGTAGCCTGACATGCTGACTTTTGTGAATGTTGTTTCAGGGTTCTCTTACATATTGTATCAAAGTGCCGTGAAGAAGGCTTGGATAATTATTTAAGATCCTTCATAAAGGTTTGTGGAGTAAAGCTTTCTTTCTGAGCAGTTTGTCTTCTGAGAGAATTTTGTCTCACAGCTCGTTTTCTTTGATTGTAGTATAGCTTCCGACCTGAAAAACCCAGTACTCCTCAGGCCCAGCTGATACATGAAACTCTGGCTACTACAATATGATAGCAGTATTGAAACAGTCTGCAGACTTTTTAGCAATAAACAAACTGCTAAAGGTAAGGGCACAGGACACGGCAGGCAAGAAAAGCAGCCAGAGATATGCTTGTTTGATACCCTCCCATTTCACTTCTAGTCTTTCATCGTTTCCTCATGTGACTTTCCTTTTCCTCACCACTTTACCTACACATCCTTTTCCCCCAAGTTCTCCACAGAACCTCCTTCATTCCCTTCACCCTTCCCACCCCATCCTGCCCACAGTCGAATGTGTAATAGAAAGAATTTTGGAGGAGATAGACCTGGGCTAGAATCCTCTATTCACTGCATAATAGTTCTGTGACCTGGAGCCTGTTATTTAGCAGTCCTGAGCCTCCACTTCCTCATTTCTAAAATATAAGCAAAGCATTTAACATGTTGTTTCTGGCACATAGTAGGCACTCAAATGGTGGCTCTTATTATTGTCATGTTTTTACTATTCCTGTTAATAATGGTAGAATTTCAATTTTGGGTATTTTGGGATGTATCTGCTTGAGGCTTCTCTGTACCCTTCAAATTACATTTACACAAACACCTCTGCTACTTGGGCTGGCCCCAGTGTTGTACCAAGGGCAGGGTTGGGTCCCCCACTGGGTGCAGGCCATAATACAATTCATTGTCTATAGAGAATTTAAAAGCAATACTAAAGTAGACTAAAAGTTGGTTTGCTCTTATCACCACATGCAGGCAAATCAAAGCAGTGTCATTGATAAAACACCCCTCCCCACTGAGTTAAACATTCCCACCAAACAGCCTTTGTACATCACCAGCCAGCCCTAAGGTATACTACTACCTTTTTGCCAACACAATTTGAAGGTATCCTGTGGGACTTGGACAATTGCGATCACTTTAAAATGTTACTAAAGTTCAGAGACAAAATCCATAGTGATTTGTCAACCTCTGCTAAGCTTCAAGGATTTGGGTAACTGTTAATGATTGATTTGTTTATTTTAGTACTCATGGTTTTTCTTTGAAATTATTGCAAAGTCTATGGCCACATACTTGTTGGAAGAGAATAAAATTAAGGTAAGTAGGCTCAAGAATAATATTTAACATAGACAAAGAAGGCTAATCTTATTCACAGGTAGCCATGACATGCAAATCCTCTTTTATATTTTAAGGGCTCTTAGCCCTTAGCTTTTCAATTTTGCTGAAAACAAGCAAACAAACAATGGATGGATTGCAAAAATCTGACAGTTCATTTGTTTTCAAAGTCTAATCGTCAGAGACTCTTCCACATAGATTGTTTCCTGTGAGGTATTTGCCATGTTAAATGTATTATCTTTGAAGCTTTCCCTTTGTCTTGTGGTTTTAAAATGTCTATGTCAGAACATTCATTTGGAAGAAGAACAAGTACCAAATAAGAAAGAACCATTCTCTTAGAAAGGTCGAAGGCATGTACAAAGTTAAAAACACTTTATTTAATAATACATGTGTTCCTGGCATGTGCTGTATACATTTAGTCATATTTTTAAACTCTTTCGAAAGTACAAAGAAATTTTCTTAGCTATAGGAATTGAAAGCTAAGATTTGTGAAGTAAAAAATATTCACCTCATACTTATCATGTTTATCAGAATCTTCACAGAGCAGGTTTACTAAAATTGAGATGCATGGATACATGTATACTTTGTGTGTCAGGAAAAACATGGAATGAAAAATGGATGTGTCTGTATCTCAGGAGCACGATTCCAAAGTCGGGTCAGAATGACCTACTCTTGTTCATGATTTCAGTCAGTTATGGTATTAGATGTCCAGATAGTTCCTATAATGATCTAAAGTATACACTGAACTAGCCATGTAATTTTTAAGTTGGGAGAAAAATTGAACTCCAGTTAAAAACACATTTTTGTACAGAATGTGTCTGAAAATAAAAACAGCAATTGATTTAGATCTTTTGCAACTCTTTTTTCTATGCCTATTTAATTTAAGCTTCCCATAGGCCAGAGATTTTCTGAGGCGTATCATCATGTCTTACATTCATTGTTTCTTGCAGTAATTCCTCACGTGACTATTCACTATGCAGAGATTCCTGATGAGTCCAGAAACGTCAATTATAGTTTGGCTAGCTTCCTGAAGGTGAGTTAAAGGCAGCCAGAACATGGTAAGGAATTATTCTTCACCAATATGGTCTTTAAAGCCAAAGAAAAAAAATTACCTACTTTCTAGAGACTCAGCTAGGCTGCTGGAGAAACTTTTGACTGAGTTAATCCATCAATTCAGTTAAACAGCCATGTTTGATCCCCCACCCCCAATGGTTAATTATTTAAACCAGAGGTCCCACATAGGTGGCTTAACCAGAAGGCACGTCTTGCTGGTTTTACATGGTGTTTCTCAGAAATATTAACTTGAATGCCTTTTCAAATTAGGGGCATGTACTTTCTATGTTGCCACAAACCCCACCACTCCGTAATATACCCCGACACTCTTTATACATTTAAATAGCTTCTCTGACCCTGTTGGCCTCTGAGTTTGTAACTCTTGAACTAAAGGCACAGTCTACACATTGCTAATATAATCACCATCTACTTGTTGTTAATACATGTAAATGAAAATGGTTGAGTTTGGTCAATGAGACTATCTTGAGAGATATCAGAAACTCCTATATTTATGAAAGATAGCACATTTCTCGTTGTTGTATTTTTATTCTCCATATGTAAGGGGCAATGCTGGAATGCGATTGTTCTAGAAAGTGGGTAATAATAATATTTGATTTTCTGCAGAGAATGGGCATGGATTTGTAAGGCACTTAGTTTTTACTTCTCTCCACTCCCCATCTTCTCACAGCCTTTCAGCATGTCTCATCTCAACCTTATCTTAAGAACCTCATAGTCAATAATCGACCCAAGCAGTTTTAGTATCTCACATACCCTTGTTTTCTTATTAAAAATTCACAACTAGGTTTCAGATCTCCAGAGCATGATTTTCTGATGTAAGACCTCTGTTTACCAGAATTAAAACAAAGTTTTAACACTATTACATGAGCCCTTTTGTGTATTAAAAACCAAACATCCACATATCTTTTTAAAGTAAAGATGAGACTATTTGAAATATAAAATCTCCGTTTCTTCCATGGAGTTTAAACTTAAAGTTTGCTATGTAAACGGAATAGAACATAGTCGATTTAGTAGCAGTATTTACCTCATTCAAGTCAACAAACATTTGTCTGTCTTCTATGTGAGAATCCAAAGATGTGAGAGGCTATCTCTGTAATTATATTCAAATACATGTACAAGATCAAGTGTGATGACTGCTATACTGAAAATACAAACAAAATACAATCAGAAAACAAGAAAGGAAGGGATTAGTAGTATGAACTACTAGGTAGTTCAGGTAGTATGAACAGAGACTAGAAGAATAGTTCCCCAAGACAGGGTTGAGCGTGTTTCAGGTAGAGGATTCATGAGCAAAGATGAGATATATGCATTCAAGAATTGTTCGGGGAGGAGCAAGAAAGTCATTGTGCAGAGTTTAGGATGTGTGGAGGTAGAGCTGGAAAGACCATCTGATGCCAGATGATGAAAGGCCTTGAATGTCAGGCTAAGGGATTTAGATTCGGAGCTATGTGCCATGGAGCTATCTATATACCAAAGATTTTGGAAGAGGTGAGGAAAAAGCCAGAGTCAAGGCAACCAGTTAGAAGACCAGTCTTTCCCCCTTGTCTGCCTGGCAGAGTCCATTCATCTTTTAGGCTCAACTCTTTCCTAACCTTCCCACACAGGGCTGATCACCCCTTCTGTTGTTTACCCGTCCTTTACATACTTGTATAACTTTTTATTGTGCTGTATTTTAATTATTTGTTTGTTTATTTGTCTTTACCATTAGACAAGACTAAAGACCATATCTTATTCACCTTTGTATTTCTCTAGAATGTAATGCTTTGTTTCAAACACAGTAGATCCTCAAAATGTTTTTGGATGAACAGATAAATATAAGCCTACCTCATTAATCCAGGTGAGAGGTGATGAGGCAGTGGAAGTTGAAAGGAGAGATGAGAAGTGAGATGCAAATGGCTGATTAATCAAATATTGAGTTCCTTCTATTTCACAGGGTTACTGTAGGTACCATGGAGAACATAAGAAAAAGAGATCATTCCTATTGTCCTCTCTAGGTGAAAACAGGAAAATAATAAGGAAAATACAAGCTAGTATAAAGTGTTTAAAGGGCCCTGTAGACCAAGGTGGTTAATGAAAATGGGCTTCATCATTGAAGAATGGGCAGGATTATGTAGAAGCAGTGATAGAATTGCTAGCTAGACCTGGCATGAGCAGAGACCCAGAGGTGGGAATGCACAGTGCATCTTCAGTGGGTAATAAGTAGATGAGCTGTATTGGGAAATAAAACTGGAAAAGTAGGTTGGGACAAGATTGTGAGTGCCCTTGAATGCCAAGCTAAGGAGTTTGAAATTATATTAGAGGCAATAGGAAACTGTTGAAAGCTTTTGGGAAGAAAGGTGACATGATTAGGGCTAGGACTTAGAGATTAATCTGGAAGCAGTTGGATGGAAAGATTAGTGGCAGGAAGACAGGTTTGGAGGATAACTGCAGTTGTGCAGTTGCAAGGTAATGAAAGCCTTAACCAGGAGAGCGATAGCAGGAACATATGAACAACTAGTAGGGTTGTCACAGAGGAAGAATGTTTTGTAGGCCAAGACTTCACAGGACCCAAAGAAAAACTTCACTTTTGGCCTGAAATGTTCACATAGGTAAGCCCCACTAACCACCCTCCAGTTCACTTTGAGCTTTGAGAGTTAACCAAAATGAGGCAGTATAGCTAATAGATTACATATCAATATATGCGTATATGTTTATATACATATATGTATACATGTATTTGTGTGTGTATATATATATATATGTATATATATCTTAGTTTGAAAATTATACAGTTGAGTCCCAATTCCAATGATAAGTCATTTGCCCTTTATCTCTCTCTTTTTTAAAAAAATAAATTTATTTATTTTTGGCTGCATTGGGTCTTCATTGCTGTGCTCAGGCTCTCTCTAGTTGCGGTGTGCATGCTTCTCATTGTGGTGGCTTCTTGTTGTGGAGCACGGGCTCTAGGCGTGCAGGCTTCAGTAGTTGTGGCACGCTGGCTCAGTAATTGTGACTTGCAGGCTCTATAGTGCAGGCTCAGTAGTTGTGGCACACGGGCTTAGTTGCTCCGCAGCATGTGGGATCTTCCCAGACCAGGGATCGAACCCGTGTCCCCTGCATTGGCAGGCAGATTCTTAACCATTGTGCCACCAGGGAAGTCCCATTTTATCTCTTTAAGGTCACCTAAATCTCTGAAAGTTTTTCTATTATCTGTAAAAGTGAGAATGTCATCCCCTTAATGTGGAAAAAATTTAAAACTTTTTGAATTTTAAAAACTTGACAGACCTTTAGAATTATGTAACTAACTGTTCATTTTGATTTGGTTTCTATAGCGCTGTCTGACACTAATGGATAGAGGATTTGTTTTCAATTTGATAAATGACTATATATCTGGATTCAGCCCCAAAGATCCTAAGGTAAGTTATAAGGACATAACTGCAGTGGGTGTCAGACATTAGAGTGTGAGAACAATGGTGACATTCTCCTCTGGAGGATTTGGAACTGCTGTTTTCATTTAGGTGCTTTGACTAGAGTTATACCTCAAAGCAGGGAATAATGGATAGTGTTTTGGGGGTCCCCAATACTACTCCGTGTTTGATGGTTCACTAGAATGACTCACAGGACGTACTCATGGCTAAGATTCATTACAGTGACACAAAAAGGATGCTCAGTTGGATCAATAAGGGGAAAAGACATCAAGTGGGGTCCTTGGCAATCTACATGTAGGCTTCCTGAGTGCCCTCCCTCCTGTGAAGGGTCACATAGAGCACATCCTCTCTCCAGCAGTGAAAATTGAGCCACGTGCGTGCAACATTTCTCTTTAGGGAAGCCCATTTGAGACTCAGGGCTTAGGGGTTTTGTTGGGGGCTAGTTATGTATTTAAGGCTGGTCAAAATTTCCAGAGTCTTGGAAAGGATGGGAAGGCAGATGTTCACCATAAATCACATGGTTTGCACACTGCTGAACAGGTTGGCACAGAAGGCACAGTCTTATCATGTAGGAAATGTTTGTTTCAAGATCTAATTTCCCACACCACAAAACAGAAAATCACAGGCCAATATCTTTGATGAACATAGACTCAAAAATCCTCAACAAAATATTAGCAAACTGAATTCAACAATACATTAAAAGTGTCATACAACATGATCAAGTGGGATTTAATCCAGGGATACAAGGATGGGTCAACATCCACAAATCAGTCAACCCGATTCATCACATTAATAAAATGAAGGATAAAAATCATATGGTCATCTCAATAGATGCAGAAGAAGCATTTGCTAAAATTCGACATCCATTTATGATAAAAACTCTCAACAGTGAGTATAGAGGGAACATAACTTAACATAATAAAGTCCATATATGACAAACCCATAGCTAACATCATACTCAACAGTGAAAAACTGAAAGCTTTTCCTCTAAGATCAGGAACAAGGGGCTTCCCTGGTGGCACAGTAGTTAAGAATCTGCCTGCCAATGCAGGGGACATGGGTTCGATCCCTGGCCCAGGAAGATTCCACATGCCGTGGAGCAACTAAGCCCATGTGCCACGACTACTGAGCCTGTACTCTAGAGCCCGTGAGCCACAACTACTGAGCCCACGTGCCACAACTACTGAAGCCCGTGTGCCTAGAGCCTGTGCTCCACAACAAGAGAAGCCACTGCAATGAGAAGCCCATGCACCACAACGAAGAGTAGCGCCTGCTTGCTGCAACTAGAGAAAGCCCGCACGCAGCAACAAAGATCCAACGCAGCCAAAAAAAAAAAAAAAAAATCAGGAACAAGACAAGGATGCCCACAGAAATTAGGCGACAAAAAGAAATAAAAGGCATCCAGATTGGAAAAGAAGTAAAACTGTCGCTATTTGCAGATGACATGATAATACATACAGAAAACCCTAAAGACTACACCAAAACTCTGTTAGAACTAATAAATGAATTCAGTAATGTTGTATGATACAAAATCAGCATACAGAAATCTGTGGTATTTCTATACACTAATAACAAACTATCAGCGAAATTAAGAAAACAATCCCACTTACAATTGCATCAAAAAGAATAAAATACCTAGGAATAAGTTTAACCAAGGAGGTGAAAGACCTGTACACAGAAAACTATAAGACACTGATGAAAGAAAATGAAGAAGCCACAAATAAATGGAAATATTCCATAATCATGGATTGGAAGAATTAATATTGTTAAAATGTTCATACAACCCAAAGCAATCTACAGATTCAGTGTATTCCCTATCAAAATTCCAGTGGTATATTTCACAGAACTAGAACAAATAATTCTAAAATTTTGTATAAAACCACAAAAGATCCTGAATAGCCAAAACAGTCTGAGAAAGAACAGAACTGGAGGTATCATGCTCCCTGATTCCAAACTATACTACAAAGCTATCATAATCAAAACAGTATGGGACTGGCATAAAAACAGATACACAGATGAGCAGAACAAAACTGAGAGCCCAGAAATAAACCCATACATATATGAACAATTAAGTTACAACAAAGGAGCAAAGCACATACAATGGAGAAAAGACAGTCTCTTCAATGAAAGGTGTTGGGAAAACTAGACAGCCACATGTAAAAGAATGAAACTAGACCGCTCTCTTACATCATAACACAAAAATTAACTCAAAATGGAGTAAAGACTTGAATGTAAGACCTGAAATCATAAAATTCCTAGAAGAAGACGTAGGCAGTAACCTTATTGACATCCATCTTAGTGATATTTTTGTGGATCTGACTCCAAAGGCAAAGGAAACAAAAGCAAAAATAAGCAAATGGGACTGCATCAAACTAAAAAGCTTTTACACAGTGATGGAAACCATCATCAAAATGAAAAGGCAGCCTACTAAATGGGAGAAGATATCTGCAAATCATATATCCATCAAGGGGTTAATATCCAAAATATATAATGAACTAATACAATTCAACAACAACAAAAACAATCTGATTTAAGAATGGGCAGAGGATCTGAATAGACATTTTTCTAAAGAAGACATACAGATGGCCAACAGCACATGGAAAGATGTTCAGCATCACTAATTGGGAAACACAGATCAAAACCACAATGAGACATCACCTCGTAATCTGTTAGAATGGCTATTATTGAAAAGACAAGAAATAACAAATGTTAGAGAGGATGTGGAGAAATGGGAACCCTCGTACACTGTTTGTGGGACTGTGAATTGGTGTAGCCACTGTGGAAAACAGAATGGAGATTCCTCAAAAAATTAGGAATAGAACTACCATAATATGACCCAACTTTTCCACTTCTGGGTATCTATCCAAAGAACATTAAAACGCTAATTCAAAATGATATGCACCCCTATGTTCACTGTGGCATCACTTACAGTCGCCAAGATATGGAAATAACCTAAATGTCCATTGATGGATGAATGGATAAAGAAGATGTGGTATATATGTGTGTAAGTGTGTGTGTGTCTTTGTATGTGTATATATATAAAATGGAATACTACTCAAACAAAAAAGAATGAAATCCTGCCATTTTACAATGTGGATGGACCTTAAAAGTATTATGCTAAGTGAAATAAGTCAGATGGAAAGACAAATACCATACGATTTCGCTCACATGTGGAATCTAAAAAGAGAAATGAACAAAAAAAAACCAAAACAAACTCATAGATACAGAGAACAGATTAATGATTACCAGACGGGAAGAGGTTGGGGGGTGGGCAGAATGGTGAAGGGGGTGTAAACTGTATGCTGATGGATGGCAACTAGACTTGTGGTGATGATCACTTTGTAGTGTATACAGATGTCAAATTATAATGTTGTATACCTGAAACGTATAGAATTAAAAAAAATCCAATTTCCCAAATGCCAGCCAATGACCAACCATGCAAGCAGGTCTTTTTAAGGTGAGCAGTCTTAGACCTGCTATGTTAACTCTTTACTGCACAGGTCACATTTTAAGGTATGCCTAAAATACTAAACACTTCTGTTTTGAAAATTAATGCACTGTATTTAATTACTAAAATAGTAAATGACTACTAAGTAGGAGTTCTTGTATAATTTCTTGTGTTTAGGTCCTGGCTGAATACAAGTTTGAATTTCTGCAAACAGTTTGCAATCACGAACATTACATTCCTCTGAATTTGCCAATGGCATTTGCAAAACCTAAACTTCAGCGAGTTCAAGGTATGTATTTGTGTTTTCCATCATTAGGGATTGTGTTTTCCTGTTTTTGGCTAGCGCTAGTATAGTATAACGTTTTCTAGTTAAACCAGTCCATCTAAAGGTAATGTCAGAATTGTTACTATCTGAAGATAGGTTCGTTAATGGTACTCGGCATTTCCTTCATAGTGTCAGTGGTAGTATTCATAGAATGAAGAAATTAGGTGTGTTACATAGATTGCTGCTTAAACACAGATGTCAGATACCAGTTAAATTGCTCTCTGTAGTACTGTTTGGACTCTTATGTGAGACTGAATTAAGAAAAAAACCATATAAATACATTTCTGCTGAGTGGAACATCAAAAGAGAAGTATAAAGACGGAGTAAAATAGTGATATGTATGTATTAAATTGATGAAATGCCTTCAGTTATCTCCATTGCTAGTTTTATTGAATGCTTTGTTGTGTAGCACTATTTTTTTTTTTTGTTTGTTTGTTTGTTTTTTTGCTGTACGCGGGCCTCTCTCTGTTGTGGCCTCTCCCGTTGCGGAGCGCAGGCTCCAGATGCGCAGGCTCAGCGGCCGTGGCTCACGGGCCCAGCCGCTCCGCGGCATGTGGCATCTTCCCGGACCGGGGCACGAACCCGTGTCCCCTGCATCGGCAGGCGGACTCTCAACCACTGCGCCACCAGGGAAGCCAGCACTATTCTTATGTTACTATGTTTTTTATTTGTCCCTTTTCTTTTCATATATTAATTAGATTTTTTTTCATTTGCGGTGGACCGTTTGACTTCAGTAGGTAGGTTTAACTCGGTTCACTCTAAAGTAGTTTGCTGTCTTTAAAAACAATTGATTTCATGAATGGCTAAGATGGATGGGGGCTTTCTTTGCTTTTTAAATCCTCCCTAGCCAAGATGAGGCTTTAGTTAATGTACCCAGAAAACCTAGGAGGTGGTGTATTTGTTAACTCTTAAAATCAGCTTGAGTGTTGATTGCTAGAAGAATCAACTTTAAAACACCGTCCTCAGAAAACAAGTTTTGGCTCAAGCTAGCATGGGGGCTAGAGGGTAGCTGTTCTTTAAGTGTGTCTTATCTCTGCCAGGCTTGCCTCCCTTCTCTCTGACCCTGCTTAATGACTGCTTGGCCATAGTTTTGGAGGTTGGCTGAAACTACCTGATTCGATTTATTCAAACCCCTGAAGCAAAAAACCTTACTACCATTGTAAAGTCGACCCAAATAAGGCCACCTGGGTTAGTCCGTACTGGTTCTTGTGCATAGAAAGTGGTTGGGATTCACAAAAGAGCATGACCAATGGCAGAAAGAATATCAGCTACCTTGGTCTCTAGGAAGGTAGCTGCTGAGCACCAGTTTCAGTGCTTGAATGCCAGCCAGTGAAAATGGAGAAAAAATATTTAAAAACCCAAGCACCCCTATTCAGCTGCTCCCTTATTAGCTTCTGAGCATGTATAGCTCTGATACTTCCCCCAGTATTTATTGATGGCTTGAGGAATTCAGGGAAAAGAAGGGATGAGGATTTAGGATTAAATCTGATTTAGCATTTATTAAGTCCTAACTGAATATATATCATTATATTAAGTGCTGAAGAGGCCAGAAAAGAAATGGAAAACATATCCTTCAGCTTTATGGCCTAACTAAAATTAAAGGGTACGGTAGAGGAGATAAAGATAGTAGAAATTTACCATAGAAATTACTAAACTTGGTCACAGTGTCTTCTGATTGTGACCCAATCAGTTTATAAGGCAAGTCCCAACCAGGATATTAGCAGCTGGGATTTAAAATGGACTGAGGATCTAAAAGGAAGTGAAAGAAATAGTTTGAAGTGGTAATTTTATGAAATAAAAGGTTTGTATTCATGTGATGAATTTGAGTGAGATGAGGCTGTTTTTCTTATTGTTCTTGTACCCCATTGTATTGGGGCCAATATATAACATTTACTAAAATAGTCAATAGTTAATACTGTTACAGTGATTCAGTTGTCTAGTTTCTCTTCCTTTTCCTACTTTACAAATATAAACAGATAAGTGAATCAAGTATTGCTGTAGAGAGTTACTCCAATTTGTAGTTGTAACTAAATCTCTTCAGATATGAAGAAATGTGTTAAAACATTGCCAAATACAGTATTCTTTCATTCTAGATTTTATCCTAAGATTTCTAAGATTTGAAAAGCATCTCGAAAAACAAAGAATTCTAGGGACTATCTTACCGACTGAAATTATCATTAAGGCTATCATCTAGCCCCAACGATGAGTGCTCATATCTTGTAAAATTTTGCATGCTTATTCTGTATGATAAAAGAACTGTTCATATTTGTTAATAATAACAATATAGTTCTTGCTAACATGGTCACATATGACTAAGTAATAAATATAGTGCTTTAATGTTAAAGTAATTTTTGAATATTTTTATAAATGGGTTTTAAATTTCATTATACTGCAGATTCAAATCTTGAATACAGTTTATCAGATGAGTATTGCAAGCATCACTTCTTGGTTGGTCTACTTCTGAGGGAAACCTCCATTGCTCTTCAAGACAATTATGATATCAGATATACAGCTATCTCTGTCATAAAGAATCTTTTGATAAAACATGCATTTGACACTAGATACCAGCATAAGGTAAGGATGTTCGTATCATCATCAGTATCACATTAGTTAGTTTCTAAGAGGATTTTATGTTCAAGGTGAAGTTTTCAGTAAGGAACATTACAGGAGGATTGATGAAGTTATTTTTACAAATACGTTTTGTTTCCGTTTCAAATGATTAGGTTTTAAAAATACTGTTCAGATAACTGTTGAAGAAGAACACTGGTTTTTCAAATCATGTCTAAAGAACACAGCTGCTTCATGATTTGTTACATAAACTAGAATTTTTTAAAAAAAATCTTACACGACTATAGCCATGTGCACTCTTTCAAATACACGCCTTAATATATATCCTTAAATATATCTCTCTAAGTAAATGCTATTATTGATTATTAACTGATTAATAGTGACACATTAAGTATGTCCAATATATAAAAGATGTAAATATGAAGTTTTTCTTCTTACTGAAAAAATGTAGGTGTGGCTGTAAACCTTCCATACATTACGCACTGTCGATGTGTGAAGGCCACAGCTGCAGTTGCTTTTTTGCCGCACCTTTAACTTAATATATGGGGATGGAGGGTATATTCAAATCTTATTAACATTATACCCTATGGGCTTCAAATAGTAGATGGCAAACTGTATGGATTTAGAATAACCTAACTTACTTACCTGGCTCAAGGTAACATATTATTTCATAATTAAGAATTTGTCCCTTTGTTTTACATTCAAATTTAAATAAAATTATCATGTCATTTATTTACTTTGGAAAGCTGACTTGGAGGTGGATCTTATTCTTTTTCTACAGTATTCCCATTTGTCCTTAAAAAACAGAAAATGCCTGCCAGCTACATCCAATTAGATTTCTTTAATTATGAAGATTTGTTTTACTTACAAATTTTGCTAGTTTTCTTCATATAATTCTATCCTAAAGTAGACTTAAACTCTTTAGCTTTCAGATGTTATTACTTACTGCAATTTGCATCGTTTTTTCCCACATTATAGTTATAACAACATACTCCCATTTTGTGTGGTTTGCTCTCTTATGTGCCACTTTTTGTGTGTGTGTGAATGTTGATATTGACTTAACGTAAGTTAACTGGCATAATATATCTAAATGAAAAGATATCTTAAAGTCATCCATTCCAACCAAGCTTTGTCAAAGCTTTAAAAATGCCAGTTACCACTGGGCTCTGTTTGTACCTAGTAGTAGCGGAGGAAAATGTCTTTAGCCATGATTTCAAAGAATTTGTGGGAAAAGTACAAAATGAAGTTCCTGTTCTTAAAGCAGGAAGTTGTATTTTTTCCCCTGCCTCCTTAGATAAAAGTGAAGGAATATCGGATTTCACTAGTGTCTTACCTGGAGGTAGAATTTTAAATATTTTATATCACATATTTGCACATTATTTACTTTTTAAAATTCTGAGAGCAGTATATGTACTCACATGCACACACACACACATCACTGTTGTTATCTGTAAATAACACTCTGCCTCTTTGAGTGTTTGAGGTTTTAGACTATGGGAAAGATTGAGATGCCAGCCTCATTACCCTTTCAGTAATTTCTAAAGCCCTTTCTTTGTTCAAAATCTTCTGACAGGTTTTAAGTGTGTATAGGATTCTCCCCAGTAAAACTTTGCTTCATGGACCTGCTTCATTCCCTTTCTCTGTATGGTCCAAAGACTTCACAGGTGGCCTGAGTAAGAGGTCATTTGTCAAATATTGATACATTCACTTAAAACATGTTCACCATTAATGATGATGCCAAGGTGAGGACAGAGAGGGGAGCTTTAAGCCCCTATAATTTCCATTGGGTCCCCCAAAGTGACCCCAAATAAAAATACAGTCAAGAAAAAAATTCTTCCTGTGGAAAGGCTGCTTTGAGACTAGATCTCCTAGTCACCGCCACCCCCCATTCCAACCATGTTGCCTTCCTCAGCCTCTCCTCTAATGAAATTATGGAGATGTCACTGGTCCCTATTATGTGCTACTCAAAAACTGCTTTGGGAGCCCTCCTAATACCATGAGACATCTTTCCTACCCAGAACAAGAATATCCAACATCTAACATTTATCCTGGGGTCTGTGTTAGTTCCTGTACCACTGCAAGTGATGTTGACTCCTAAGAATTGCAATTTCTGCTTGGACGATGGGCAGATTTTTTTTCTTTCTTTTTTTTTTAATGGTAATCTTACACACATGTTAAAAAAGAGAATCAAAATGCCTCCCTCCCATTCCTTACCTCCATGCCTCAATGCATCTCTCCAGAAGCAACTACTGTTATCAGTTTCTTATATAAACTTATATTTTATGTATGCACAAGCCAATATGCTATATATATGTATATATATAAATATATAATAGAAACCATTATGCATTTTCCTTTTGTCATTTAACAATATAGCCTGAAGATTTGATCTGTATTTATTTTAAATCTGCATAGTATTCCATCATATGGATATACCTTATTCTATTTATCTAAACTGTCTTCTGTTAATAGATTCTTAGATGGTTTTCTGTCTTTTGTGCAGACAAAACTTTTAATGTATTTGCCCTGACTGCATGCTTTCCTGTGTTCCTGTTCACCTGAGAAAGGTGTAGTATCTCCTTCCCTAGTGATCATTCACTATCAGAACTAAAATGAATTCCCATCTAGAAGCTATAATATTAATAATAGTAGCTAAAATTTGTTGAGGACTCACTATATGCCAGGCACTGTATTAAACATTAGCTTACATGAATTAATGTCACTGTTATTATCCCCATCTTACTAAAGAGAAAACTGTGGTTGTGACTTGATCACAATCAAGTAACTAGTAACAGGAGAGCTGGAATTCATGTGTCTAAAATTCAAAATCTGTGCTCTTAACCACTAGACTATACTGCCTCTCAAATCTTAAGTGGGACCCTGGAAAATTAGAGAACTGCCGAGAAAGGGTGATGATGATGGTGGAAACTCTTGAAATCAAAGCCATGTGAAGAATAAAGGAAAGTAGTAACAGCTATTTAGCCTTGTGAAGAGTGAATTAAGACAATTTGTGGTAATTGTCTCCAAATATTTAAAGGGTTGCCATGTAAAGTGGAAGTGGGCTATAACTAGCAGGTAGAACTTAACTGCTAAAGGATTTTTCTAACAGAACCTCTGAAAGGGCTGGAGTGTTTAAGAAGTTTAAAAACTAACCGTCTGTCAAGGATGCAGGTAAGGGCTGTTCTTGCCTTGAGCAGGATATTGAACTAGATCAGTGGTTCTCAAACCTCAGTGCACATCAGCACCATCTGGGGCAGATTCCTGGGACCCAGCCCAGACCTACTGAACCAGAATCTCCTAGCGATAGAGACTGTTACTGATTAGGGTTGTGTATTAGAAGTAGGTCTGTTAAGAGTTCCTGAAACTCACAAAACAGGAAGTACAAATGGACAATTAACATATGAAAAATTGTTCAATTTCAAGAATAAATGGAACTATGAGACACTATTGATCTGTATTCTGTAGGTTAACCATTGTACCCTAGAGGCCTTATCTAAGTCTACAGACAAACCTCCCAAAGTCCTAAAGTATGGAGGGCAACTCTTGTGCCATCACAACCACTGGTTTGGCTGATTTGAATGTATGTCCATATCTGGTGAGGAATGTCTGTAGCTGAGAAAAGCAATAAATACATTCGTATAAGAGGTACCACATTCATTAAGATGACCAGTAGCCAGCTTCACTTGCATATTTACAAATATATCAATCTCCCAAGTTGTATAATTGATTTAGGGGGCCAAGATCACGTTATTTTAATTGCAGCTTTACTCAAAGCAAAGATATATTTCTTGAATGAATACAGTAATTCACCAGTTTTTTACTTCTTCCATCTATTCATTCATTCAGCTAATGTATATTGACCATATACTATGTGCCCAGGCACTGGGGATGAAGCAGTGAACAAGACAGACAGGATCCCTGCTCTCCTCAAACTCAACCCTTGCTGGAGTTAAAGAGCAGGACTAATATGATCTGCTATTTAAAAAAAATAAACTTTTGCCTGTTATGTAGTGATGTTTGAGGGATGTGCTTTGACTCTCTATTGTATATAAATTCAAATACCAGCAAAGTGGTGTAGCAGTTAGAGACTATGAATATAAATAGACTCATGCTTCACTAATTTGTTATGGATATTAGCTTGCTTTTAGTGTTTAAACGGACAGATGGAGCCAACTTTATTTGTAATACAGGCATATTATATATCTATTAAGCTTTTGATAAATATTTTTCAGAACCAACAAGCCAAAATAGCACAATTGTACCTCCCATTTGTTGGACTGCTTTTGGAAAATATACAGCGACTAGCAGGTCGAGATACCTTGTATTCTTGTGCAGCCATGCCTAATTCTGTAAGTAGTAATGTGTTTCTATTGGCATTTTATCCTGTTTTATTGACTGTATTCAGAATTAGGGTCATACGCTGTATGGTCTCAATAGTGCACATTTTACAACATTTTAAATTTATACTTCTTCCTGGAGCAGTGCTTCTCAAATCTTAATGTGCATATGGATCACCTGGGGAATGAAGACAGAGATTCTAACGTGGTAGCCCTGGGGTGGAGCTTGAGATTATGCGTTTCAAACAGGCTCTTGGCTTTTTCTCATCTAAGGACCATACTTTGAGTAACGAGGTCCAAGAGAACACCGAGAATCCTCTGTGCTCAGTGTTTTCTTTTTAAGATTTGCTGCTGTTACATGCCTTCATATATTTATTCAACCGGAAAACTGAACAAAACATTCACTTTGCAAAATATTAGGCACCAGGGATTAAACTGTATTCCTTTGCTTCTCCTCCTCTTTGACAGCCTCCTTTCAGCACTTCCTGATGAGTGGCTTTTAACTCATCACAGTTGGTCTGTGCTTTTTTCTCCCCTTAGAATCTTAGAGTTGAAAGGAACTTTGGAGGTGATCAGTCTTCCACTTGGCAAAACAACATTTTGCCATAGTAGTAATGAAAACTTTCCTCCTCACATTAGATCTACAAGATTTTCTACCCACTGGTCCTAGTTTTGCCTTCTAGTGATACATCCATTTCTACCTCCACGTGATACCCCTTCACACATGTCCCTTCTCAATTTTTCTTCAGGCCAGATATCTCCACTTCATCATTTGTTGTTTCAAACCCTTCACATTTCTTGGTTGGAGTCTTCTGGACATGCTCCATTTTACCAATTGCCATTTTAAAATGTGGCGTATACTTTACAGTCTGTCCAGTGCGACTAATAACTCCTGCCCCCCGCCCACTCCACGTTCTGTCTGGCCCAAGATCACCTTCACATGTTCAGTAGCCAAGTCACATTGTTGGGTGGAAGGTGAAACTGTGTCCTTTACAGCTTCCTTTGGAAATTCCCCATAATAAATGTCCGTAGATTTGTCAAGCCTACCCTGGGTTCCTGAGAAAGCTGCTTTTAAGCCTCACTTGATTGCCTGTACCTCCCGATTATGTAAGTCAGCTAAATGTGGACGCTATATCGCTTACCTGGGTGGCAAGCAAGCCTTTCTTCACAAACACAGTTACTCATGCTTATGCTTACTCCACAACATTTGACAGTGATATTTGGAAATATTTTACTTACCTGTTCTTTCTTTTGCAACTCAAGATCATGTAGGGCCTCTGGTCACACCTCTCTTTCTAGTATTGCCCTTGCTTCAAGGAGGAGAATGGAATCATGTTTAGATCACACCAGTTTGCAGCTTTTACCAGCCACCTAGAGTTGTGTCACTTTGCCAGAGGTCATGGTTGTAACAGTGTACCAGGATCCATTTTCTTTTTTGTGTGTGTGGTACGCGGGCCTCTCACTGCTGTGGCCTCGCCCATTGCGGAGCACAGGCTCCGGACGCGCAGGCCCAGCGGCCATGGCTCACGGTACCAGCGCCACCAGGGAAGCCCCCAGGATCCATTTTTAAAAGAGATGTCCCCTAAATACCAATACTGATATGTGATTTAGACTTTTCACAGTGAGCTTTGTTTAAAATTAGGGTACCATCTCATTGTTAATTCCGATTTCTTATCCTAGTGTACAAATGTATTTAAATGAAAGAGGTATCACACTGTGTTACAGGCATCCAGAGATGAGTTTGCATGTGGCTTCGCTTCACCTACAAGTAGAGGGAGTCTGAGCACTGACAAAGACACCGGTAATTAAAAGTCCTTTAAAGATTATACGTGGCATGGCTGTTTAGAAATGTACCCTATACTTCTCTGTATTTTTGAAATATTTCATAATAAAAACTATACATAGCACAATCTCTACTAAAGTTTAATTAAAATCTTACACTTGCAGCCACATTTCTTTGCTTAGGTTTCCTTGTCTCAGCTTGTATAAAATTTAGCTTAGTATACTAAGAAAATAAAGGATAATGAGAAAAACACTGGTTTCCAATCATCTGTCTCCAGTCCTGGATAAGACACTTCCTTTTTCTGGGCCAAATTTCCTTATCTATAAAATTATCTAATTGTTTGCCTTTATTTATGACTTGCAAGGAATTTCTTGTAGTTTCATACACGTTAAAGTGTTTCAAGGAAAAAAAATTGCTTACCCTTTATTTGGCTTCTTATGGTGTTTTGATGTAATATATAAACTTCACATTTTAGATGACCAAGATCTATTTCCTAAAATATGTCTTTACTTAAATTAACCCAGTGCTTAGTTTTAAAATTATTTTTGACAGTTCCTCCTGTTGCTAACAAGGACTTGGCTTTTTTCCAGCTTATGGGTCTTTTCAAAATGGACATGGAATTAAGAGGGAAGATTCGAGAGGTTCCCTCATCCCAGAAGGAGCAACAGGATTTCCAGATCAGGGCAGCACTGGTGAAAATGTAAGAACCTAAGTATATAGGATAACCCTAGTGATGTGTTAAGCTACAGCAGTCTTTCTTTTTATGCAAATAGGGGTCTCTCTACTCTCCTGTAGTCTGTACTGGATCTTTAAAAAGCATCCCATAATGCTTGGATGTTGTAGCAGTTCCTTCCTATCCTGGCACCTGCTGCTTGGATATTTTAAAACTGTTTATAGAGGATAAGGCATTCATCTTTAAGAGTTCCACCTTTGAATACCTCCTTTAACCCTAGCACTCTGTAAACCTGTTCCAGAGAGGGAAGGTTCAAGTTTAAAATGCCTAATGTACCTTGTCACTTAAATCACTCCCTGGCAGGATTCAGCTTTTTATTCTTTTGTAATAGAGTAATGACATTAACATGGGAGAAGAAAAATTAGGTCCCCAAATGGATGATCTCAGCATCCCAGAATCACTTAATCACAATATATTCTCTAACTCTTCTATCAGATTATTTCAAGCCTGACATTGAAGTTTGGGATATGTCTGCCTTGAGACAGAGAAACCTCACTTTAGACCAGTAAAGCCTTGTCACGCTGCTACGTAAAATCAGAGAATCATATAAAATTAGAGTTAGAAGGGTCCATAAAAATAATAAATTCCAACTCTCAATTTACAAATTAAAACTGGGATTGTGACTTAGGACAACCACACAACTATGGCAGGGCCAGGCCTGAACCCAGGTTTTCTAATTCCGGCACTTCTCCTAGATCATGGCATTCTTAGGGTGCATCTGGGGAACTTTATAAAAATGGATAGCTGAGCCTCATCCCCAGAATTTCTGTTTCTGTCAGTCTGGGGGCTTGCTCATTTGTATTTCTAAGTTCCCAGGTGATGCTGATGCTGCTGGTTGGGAACCACCCCTTGAGAACCACTGGACTATATACTCCATTGAGTCTTTGCATAGTTAGTAATTTAATCATAAAGGTTCTTATTTCACACCATTTAGAATTAAGACAACAGACACTGTCATAGGTAAGACACATAAAGGACAAAGAGGTTAAATGACTTGCCAGTAGCCACACAGCTAGCAAGCGTTCAGGACCTAGATGTTTTGCTCCAAGTAGACGTTCTTGGTGAGTCCTAGATTAGTAAATATATATCCCCAGCCCAGGTTAGCTCAGCTGAAAGTATTGGTTTCTAACAAGGGTACATTCGTTAGGAGATTGTCATTGCTGTATTCATACAAATCCCCAAATAAGTCAGATCTTGTCATTTTTAACTGATATTTTAACAAAAGTCACTAAATAATAGGAACGTCACTACTTTGTAGAGGCTCTAATTTTGAAGTATTACTGGGTCCTCCTTAGTAAAATTATCTTGTAATGTCATTAAGCCTTTTTAAGATAGATTTTCTGACCTATTATTTAGACGTTGGATTTTAATAAACTCTAAGGAGAGATTGAAGTTAAAGAGTTTAAAATGCTTCTTATGCTTCGATGTACCTTAGTTAAGTTTCTCCTTGACGTAAAAGCTATTTTTTCCTGGAATAGCCACATATGATTATTCAAAATGTTTTCTTACTAAAACACAGGACCTATGGGAATGAAACATACACAGTATATTCATGGCTATATCTTGATGAAGACTGCAAGGTAATTTCCAGTGATATTATTAGGTACAGTAGCAAAGAAGAGTCAGCCCATTTACCTTCCAAATGTGATATAAAATGTGGATGTATACTTAGAATTTTCCCAAACAGGACTAATGGTTAAAACAGTTATTGAGTTAAAGGCTATGGGAAGCTACAGTACCAATATTGTTTCAGAAAAGTCCTATCTTTGTATTACAGACTCGGCAGAGTTCTGCAAGGAGTAGTGTATCTCAGTATAACCGATTGGATCAGTATGAAATCAGAAGCCTCTTGATGTGCTATTTGTATATAGTAAAAATGATTTCTGAAGGTGAGTTACCAGCATATTAATCGTGGACTGTACTCCACCCTCACAGGTTTACAAGTTCATGCAACAAATATTTGACCATCATCTGCATGTAGAACACATGCACATTAGAAACAGAACTTTGAAGACTCTGACCTTAGAATGTTCCTATATTTTAACTTAAAATAGGTTCATTT